GTTCGGTTAGAGGGGTAAAGGGTCGGGATCATTATAACAGGGGTTTGGTGGAGGGTGGGAGAGGGAGAATAAATAAATAAGAATACGACCCTTTAAGAGCAATATGCGTTTAAGATGTCAAATAAAATTTACTGTGTTGTTATAAACAACGATAGAGCTATGTGTGTAACGCAGTAATTCGCTTCTATTCAGAGAGCCCAAGACATTCTCGAGCCAGGCAGTGAAGGGTTTGAAGATAACTAGCTTCAAGGCAGAGTCGGTTCAATAAAAAACAACAACAACAACTAACAAACAAAAAATCTCACAAAAACCACAACACACAACTACAACAACAAACAAACAAACAAACAAATAAATAAACAAACGAACAAACCCATCAAACAATACCGGCTGTAAGCGCCGCAGCTCTATCCGCAAACAACACTCAAAAGAGGAGGCTTTATCCTAAAGCGTCCATTTTTCTGCAGTGACCAATTGACTCGGCTTTCGACGATGTAGAAAACAAAACTCTACAATATATCATTTATTTCTATTTATATCTGATTCCCCACTAGATTCGTAAATTCCACCCTCTTAACCCTACAATCGCCAAGCATCAGTTCATGATTCACTCTTGGCTGAACAAAGAAAGCATGATAATTATTGTGTTTACCTGACTGCCTTGACATACATGTAGGCATCTGAGAAAACGAGCAGTTTGGTCTTCTGTCTAAGGAACCCCCTTATGTTGGGATTAACGGCAACTACAACTTGTCACAAACTTTTTAAAGAACAAGGTCAAATGCTACACTTTCAGACTGTGAAAGGAACAATGGAGGGAACAACTTTAAACAAGCGAACAATTAACTTCCCAATATAGGGGCAAGCGAGACAGGGGAAGGCCCAGAACAACATACTTGGGGAACCTAAACAAAAGGGTAACAGGGAAAGATCAGGGAAACATAGCTTTTTTTAAGAGCATCCGAGCAAAGGAATGAATGGAGAACCATGATCGCCGATGTCTGTCGCAGATCTAGCACTGGATGAAGATGATAGTGTCCAAGTTGGGACCATGGCATCCTTCTGACCACTCTAAAAGAGACGAAGTTATTGGACATACCTCCCTGACACCTCCTCCAGCGGGAGATCAAAAGCTGTTTTGTGCTGGATGTGATGTCGACCTAACGACCAATCACATTCTAATGGCATATCCAAACTTCGGAAAATCCATAATGAAAATTAATATTTTCAATGCACTACTTTGAAGAGTTTCTTCTCCATCGTTGATCCCAATGATCAGAATCACAAGAGCCACGACGACTCAAATCTGCAAACACCATCCACTTGCATTTTTTTATTAGAAGGTTGTTTATTAATAAAGAATTTTCTAGAACACTGCTAACAGGTGAGTATAAAAATACATTATCTATGTTGTTGTTTTTTTAAAATGGGGGGCTGGGGTGTATTTACCAGTCGCTGAGGGCTAGCTGGGTACACATGGGTCGCCATAACTTGTCAGCCCAAGGTAAAATTATAATATCAAGGTGCAAAAATGTATCAAGGGACGGAACCTAAAATAAAAGAATACACCAATTGATATTTTTATACTCGGTTGTTCCCCGTCGTTTTGATTCCGTCATGATCTAGAAATCTATAACTTATTACACTTTTATTTATTAAATTCTTTTTTTTAAAATAAGAAATATTTATCTTTAATCTGTTTTTTTCTGTTTATCTATTTATATATTACTTAGTCACCTATCTCTCTATTTATTTATTATTACTGAGTTGAAAAGAGTTGGAAGATAATTGCTGCGTTTAACGACAAACAATCATTATGTATGTGGACTATCTTTTTACCTATCTTTACTTTTTACAAGCTCTGTTCGCCGTTATTGTCTGGATATTATAAAACAGGATTTTAAAAACTTATATTTCGAGTGTAAAACAAAATAAATGAACTTTTAAGATTTATTAATCAAAATTGACTTCATCCGTAACCTTTCGCAGCGTCCATGTTTTTTCTACGTCGGCTTCAAAAGTTGGACCAAGTTTCATCGCAACGCTGAGCCGTAAAAAGATCTTAACAAGGGAACATTGGCGACCTTAAAAATGGTAATATTCTGTTTCTTCACCTATTTTATTGGATATTTTCTTTATCTACGTTGAATATAGTAAATCTTGTGTCACAACAATTGTATAATATCTCGCTAATACTCCGATGGAAGAGGAAAAGCTTTGATGTGTCACTGTAAGGCGTCATTAGCAACGACAACGCTTGAGTTTAAAACGAGTTACGAATCAGACGTGTATGAAGTAATTGTTGACTTTTATAGATTATCGTGCATATTTGGGGGTTGGCTTAGGAAAAGTTCCTAGACCAATATATGGTATTATCAAAATGGCGGAGGGAGAATTAAGAAGACCAAGGCAGGAAGAGGTGTGGGATGGGATGAAAAATAAAGAAGCAAAAGGGAAAGGCTCGAAAGGGAAAAGTGTAGCGAGGGGGTGAAGTGAGTAAGATCTTAAATTGCAAACTACATTCAGGGCGCCGAGAACAAAGATCTAGATCTAGATGCTGCTTTGAAATTTACTTTCAGTTAACACAGTGTTATTACTTGGACATAAAATAATATTAAACACTAACCTTTTGCTTACCTGCGGAGATATGCATTTACAAAGGCACAAGGGTTAGCCAAACCTGTCTCTCTCTCTCTCTCTACATCATGATCCTTTCCTCAGCGGTGGGGCCCGATGCGTTGGAATCTCACGCACAACACAGAAATAGACAGAGAGGCTCTAATTACAGTCCGTGCCGGCTTTAAGCACACCGCCCTTAAGCACGTTTCGGACTCAAACACGCTAAACGGGTCTTACCTAATTTTTGTAATATAAATTACACGCCTTTAAGCACGGTAACTTCGGCTTCAAGCACGCTTCATTTACAAGACAGTCAATATTTTCATGATGACCCATCGAAGTTCGAACACAGTTTACACCGCAGCAGTGGAGTGTGTCAAGAGAAACACAAAGAACGCAAGTGATGGACACACACACTCACACGGGCGGAGAGGAAGGCAGACAGATGCACACAGCCGCGCACGCGGACATAGGATCTAGCCTTGGCCTAGGGCAAAGCTGCACACAGCCAAAAAAAAAATACAAAGAGAGTCGGGGAGATGAGAAAGGGAGGCTGGCTGCGATTTAAATTTTGACCCTCGCTATCCATTAATCCTGATTGCGTATCACGCGCGAGGTGGGATGAAGGCGGTGGTATGAGGGGCACAGCGGGCAGTGATACGCACAGGCAGTGTGTTACAGTAGGCCTAGTGTGCTGTATTGTGACTGGCCGTCTAAATTAAGTTTTCATTTCCCATTGGACCACAAAATAAAAACAAACAAGCGAACAAAAACTACCTTGGCGGGTGTTTAAATAACAGGGCACACTTTTGTGGGACTGCTATAGGCCTACTTACAAACAAAGGGAAATAGCACGGGGAATTTTCTACATGAAAATCTGTGGATTATGTCTACTTCGCACTTAAGCACGCTTCGGCTTTAAGCACGCTTAAGCTTTCTCCCGATTACCGTGCTTAAAGCCGGCATGGACTGTAATAGCCATTCCCCCTTTCCTCACGCCAAAATCTCCGCAAGCCTCCCTGCTGCCTTGATACAGCACTTCCCTCTGACCTGCTGCAATCCAGACTGCTTTTATACTCGCTTGCACCAAACAATACAACTGAACTGAGACTGAAGTGGTCTCACACTTACTCACTCACTCTCTCTGCTTTACACACTTTTGGCCAAACAATACAATAGGCTAGGCCTAACCCTCCGCCACTAACCAACACGCTAGATTGCAAAATAAACAGTCAAATAGACCACGGTACACAGGTTGCCATCTTCTAGTCAGTGACTGATCAAAATGAAGAAAGAAAGCATTCAAGATCTCCCCTGAGGTCCAGACCGGGGTTGGTCTAAGGCTTTGGACTGCTATAAGGCTATTTCAAAAGGGATTTTTTCTTTTGAAAAGGGGGGTGGAGGGGTATAAGGGGTGTCTTTTTTGTTATTGTTTTTTTGTTAGCTTATTCTTTGGCGTTAGCTTGTTTTGTTGCTGATTGTGTGCAAAAATAAAGAAGACGAATCTAAGACGATGAAGACCGAGTGTCATGGTGAAACAAACACTGGGTTACCACTTCTCGGAGAACGAGCTACGCATCTGTCACAAGTTAAGTCAACGTCCATTGTTACTTTGTTACAGATTAGGTCAACAAAAGAGTGACCAGTCACCTCACATACGATTTGTGCATGAGTTGTGGGCAGGGCTTATAGGTTATGATGAATCACATGCTTCCCTCACCAGCAATTGAAAATGTATTGTTACCCATTGGTCAACATGGGTAAATATTCATTGGAGTGGCTAACAATTACGACAAGTAAATGGATTATGACGGCCCGTCCACAGTGTCAGGGGACGATTCAAAATTTATGACAAAGCGTCATGCAATGAGTGACCATGCTTGTCCATCTCAAGCAGGTAAATTTGACCAGGGTTGATAAAATATGGTGGCCGTGGCCGCGGCCGCGTTGGACTGGTGATCGTTTTACACATCACAGTTAAATTATATTAAAAAAGCACAAAGGGGGAAATGTAAAATGACTGTAAAGGTTGCCGTCATGACAAATTCGACTGTATTTTCTATTAATGTCCTGTGTTGTTTTGTGTATGTGTGAGTGCGCCTAGCCTAACATATCCACTGCCATTGTAAACGACCAAGACAAATTTCTCCCTGAGAGATGAATACAAGTTGTCATTGTTATTATTGTTAGTTATATTGTTGTGAGTGTGTGTTTGTGTATGTGACCAGTGATCCTAAGTGGCAATATTAATGGCGTTAGTAGTCTAGCTGTTGCGGCTTGCTATCCGAGATCCCAAGAATACTGCTTCTCACCATGGTCACTGCTCTATCACGTAAAAGGTCAAATTTGTTGTCCTGTCTCTGAAAAACTGCCACTGCTAAGCGAAAGGTCATGTTGAAGATAAGAAAAAGCTTCTCCATCTAGGGCTTTTAGATCTAGATGTTTCAGGAAGGTTAGAGGGTTGTTATTATTGTTGTTGTTATAATGTTACTTGGAAAAAATTTTTAAAAGTAAAAGTCCCCATGCAGACTTGCTGGAGACTCCAGCCCCAACATTCCATGTTGATTTTTACAGAGATTTTCATTGTAATTATTTTCAGGCTCAAGAAGTAGAAGAAATTATGAAGCGGATCCAAAGTCATCGTGGAGTGAAGCAAATGATGATTATCAACAAAGATGGTGAGTGTTGTCATATAGGGGCAAATATTTATTTTAAAATGCAGCAATAGCATTAAGTATTTGTGCTGTTCTTTTTGTTAGTGTGGTTTTTGGACTTTCCCTAGCCTGCAAAGTCATGCTGTGCTTGGATATTTCAAACAAGAATTTCTTGTATGTTAAGAAAATCGAGAGTCCTCTTGATTTATTGTAAATGTTGTTCCATGAACGAATATGGAATCTTTTGCTCCCGATCCTTCGAGTCTAACAGTAACTATGGCCCTAAGCTTTTCTGTGTAAACTGATATAATATTTACTCAACCTCATGAAAAGTTTCGCGACAATTCACGACTTACATTCTATCCATTTTTCTTGTTTTGAGAAAAATGAAGATTTCTGTTCTTTGCCCATTTACTGAATAATCTTGAGCAACATTGATTTTCGAGTAAACATGATCTAACGCTTAGCTGATATTCACTATTTGATCAAATCAGTTTTGGATTCTTATCCTTGAAATTGATGAGATCTCCACACATTTTTGACAAAATGTGACATATCCACTTTAATACTGTAAGGAAGGGAAAGAACTGCTGACAAATTTTCATTGACTACAAGTACAAGCGAAGTCAAGTGACTCGAAGTCGAAGAAAGAACTTGACTGGTGCTCAGTGCACATGGTTACGTTGCGGTTTGTCAAGACTGCCGCTTTTGTTGCGTTTTGTGAAAAAGTGTAAATTTCTGTAGGTCTACTAGTATAGTTCTTTTAAGAGGAAAAATCACGTTTTGTGAAAAAAAAGTTGACCCTGGAATGCGTCTCATCTTTCTAGATAGGAGGATACTAGTTTCGGACAAACGTCAAAAGTAGCGTTAGTTGCGAAAGTGTTTAATATATATATGGATTTGATGCGCAGAAGTTAAACCTTGTGTATGCTCTGAGTTACGTTCAGGTCTATGGGAATAAATTAGAGTGTGAGTACAGGGCAAAAATTGGTGTATCAAAAGTGCTTTTGATCCTATTTTTTTTTCTAAATAACGATGAAAACATTTTCAAAAGTGAGCCATTTGTATTTCAAGAACTTCATACTGATTGCTTTTATTTCTAAAAGTATTCATAAAATGAAGAAATGGTTTAACTATAAGTTTGTCCTGGTTGGAGAAATATAGCTTTAGGTTGTGCTGTGGTGCCATAGATAACGGTTTCAATGAAATGCTCAATCATCTTTGCCTATTGGCAGTATTTTTCATCCTCTTCTCTATATCTCTTTTCTTCAAATCAGGTCAAACCCCGATACTCTGATGTTTTAAATTTTCCAATAGGCTACTGTCTCTTAAAGGGCAAAGACCAAATTTGCAAACTTCCTTGGCTAAGGATTAACAGCATCTATTGTCTCTTGTACGGTGTCAGTTATGGATTCACCTGTGGCTAGCTTACTTCTTAGTTACATGTGAACACGTTGCTTACAGAGCATACACTTATGTTATCTGATATTATACATTTATATTCTAATCTTTATGTGGAGAAGTAGTGGTAAAATATATATTATTGAGACTTGGATATTATGGTTCAGGAAGCATGTAGTCTTTCAGAATTTCTTCAACATTTCACCTTACAGTCATTATTAGGAACAATGATTTCTTTAAATTTGTAGCAACATCTTGCTCTCCCTGGTAAAATGGAAGACAAACAAAGCTGTTTCTTTAGAAAGCTTAAACAGATGAGTAACAGGGAAAGTCAGGATAATAGAGCTTTTTTTTTAGAGCATCTATGATGTCTCTCGCAGATCTGGCACTTGATGATGATATCAACAAGAGCATTCTGTAATTTCATGAGGCTCGATGACATGTAGGAAGAAAAGTACAAGGAACTACCCAAGCTTTAGAAAAAAAATCAGTTAAGAGAACATGAACTGTGTGTCATTGGCAGGTGCTTTAATGTGGTTTGCATTGTATCATCTTGTCTGTTGCTGTTCCCTAGGTTTGCCTCTGAAGACCAACATGGAAATGACTCCAGCCACAGAACAGATCATCAGGAACATCCACGAGCTTTCCATCGCAGCGCGGAGACTGGTGCGAGACGTTGACCCCACAGATGACCTCATGTTTTTACGAACCAGGTCGAAGAATGACGAGCTCCTCATCTCACCAGGTGTGTATAGGTACCCGTTTCTTCAGATAGATGTACAGTCCATGCCGGCTTTAAGCACGCTGGCATAAAGCACGTTTCAGACTCAAGCCCGCTGAACGGCTCTTACCGAATTTTTTCTATATAAATTACACGCCTTTAAGCACGGTAACTTCAGCTTCGGGCTCGCTTCATTTACAAATTACAAGACTGACAGTCTATACTTTCATGATGACCCATCGAAGTTCGAACACAGCCTACAACACAGCAGCAGTGGAGTGTGTTAAGAGAAACACAAAGAACTCAAGTGATGGGGACACACACTCACACGCGTGGAAAGGAAGGCATAGAGATGCACACAGCCGTGCACATGGACATAGGATCTAGCCTAGGGCCAAGCTACACACTGACGAAAAAATACAAAAAGAGTTGGGGAGACGAGAAAGGGAGGCTGGCCGCGATTTCATCTTTGCCCCTCGCTATCCGATAATCATGATTATGTATCACGCGCGAGGTGGGATGAAGTTGGTGGTATGAATGTGGCACAGCGGACAGTGTGTAAGCCAAGTGTGCTGTATCGTGACTGGTCAAAGAACTTATCCTTAACACCAGACTGACTCTTAATAAAGTTTTTTTTTCCCTTTCGCTGTTTTTGGACTGACCGTGTTCGAAATAATGGATTCCACTGTATAAGACTGATATGTATTCCTATGTGGCTCACTATAAATAAAATGTGCCTGCTTTTCCCTCCTCATCAGATGAAGACTTCACAGTGGTGGTCATCCAAGGCAATGGGGAGTAGCTGTCGTTTGACCCCTTCTCTCGTGACCTGTGCTGTGACCTCTGTGACCCGCATGACATGATGACACTGTGCAGGTTTATGCAAATGATCTGATATTTGCGGAAAATGCTCTTTGTATGACCGAAAAATGTGATGCTGTGATTGATATGGTTCTTTTTATGGTGGTTTTATTATTTTAAAAAAAAATGTTTAATGTTTTAGGAATAACAGATGAAGTGATTAAGTTAGAAAGGGAGAAGAGACAGAGAAAAGAAAGAGACTAGAAGACTGAGAAAATGTGGAACAGGGAAAGAGAGAGAATGTGATGAGAAAGAATGTCAGACTGTTGAGAAGAAATGGAAGGCACAAACAGACACACTTCGATAAAAGTGCTTAGGGGGACAGAAAAATATTGACAAAGTTTGTCCTAAAAAGGAAGCTACGATCTGAAGATATCTTTGTTTTAGAGAATCTCATTGAACTTCTGCTTAGACACAGATTTAGAATGAAGAGTTGACATTGTAAACTTCCCCTACAAAACAAATTAACACATAACACTTTAAGCATTACATAGTTTATCAAGAGACAAAAATTGTATCAACAAGAGCACAAGACGTGAGCATACCAGTTCCAAGAAGCAGATTGCATTTTATCGGACATCTCTGGTTGTGAACACAGAGCATTGTGTCATTTAAGGGAACTGGGCTGAGAGACAAGGTGCTCTTGGAAAGACAAGCAAAGTTTAGACCTTACCAGGACTCTTGCCCTGAATCTCCATGTGTTGACAAAGTATTTCCCGCTATATTTGTTTTTTGGCAGCTGGGTGGAATGGCAGCTTGTTGTTTTTGTACATGGATAGCTTTCTTCCAATAAAACGTCAACTCTTACTTTTGTTATAGATGGTATTAAGTATTTATTATTTCTCTGAAGTCTGTTGGCATAGTGTTGAAATTGTTGCTTATAAATTTTATATTTTGTGTAAACAATAAACTCATTTCTTAAAAAGAAATATTATTTTTCCTTTTGTCTTTTTTGTCTTATTGTGGAATGCATTGTAGAGGAAGTGTTCTTAGAGGGTCTGCTGGGGTAATAACAGTTGTAAAGCGCATAGAGTATGCTCTTGAGCATGGATATGCGCTACATAAATGCAATTATTATTATTATTGTTGTTATTATTATATAAATCCATCAAGAAGGTCTTACAAAGAACTTCTTTGATTGATGACTTTTTGTTGTAGTTGTAGATTCATTACCGCACTGTAGCTTAGGTTCAAACCCAGTTCATACATACTGGTAGATTTTAATACTCGTCATAATTATGATTTAACTTTTTCCTCTTTCAAGATGCTCAAAGCTTCCAAAGTCATCTTTATTGAGTGGGTGGTTGGCGGGTGCTCTGGTGTGGTTTAATGCTCCTTCTTTCCTATCGAACATCTATCATCCTGATCTCTCCCTTCTTTTTTGTGTTTGTTACTCTCTTGTAACACCTGTAATCTTCTGCACTTATATGACCTTATTGTGTTTCAATTAAGTGCCGATAAACTTTTACTAAAACTAAACTAAATATATACTGAAGCCATGTTTGCTGTAAGCAAATTACGTGTTTTATATGGGTGAAACTCATTGTGTGCATGCCACCCTTCTCCTTCCTCTTCCCTTCCCGTCAGTACTACCACATCAAACTACTGTACTGTACTCAGAGATAGTATAAATAGTCATTCGTTTAGAGTGTGCTGCATGCATGGTGGGAACATTCCAAAATCCTGAACTTGCGTTTAACTAATATTTTGAACTCCTGTCAATGACAACACCAACATGCTTTTGTTTATATCAGTATAGCTGCGAAATAAAGACTTTTCCAGCACGATCATTTCAGATTTCAGAAAAACTCACATGCAGTGCCAAAGAAAAGGCAGAAGCATGCGAGAAGATTATCCCTCTCATTGCATAGGCATTGTAGATCACATGTATTAGTAGGTGTTGTTGTTTCAGTTGCTGTTGGTTGTGGTGGTTGGGATGTTGTTGTTGTTGAAGTTCGAGGTAGTGGCTGAATGGTTGTTGTGGTTCTTGCCGTTGCAGATGGTGGTGTTGTTGTGACATCTTGGCTGCCTGGTGTTGTTGTTGTTGCTGATGTAGCAGCAGCTATTGTAGTGGTGGTGGTCGTCATCACGGTAGAGTTCGTTTGGGGTGTTGTCGATGTTGTCTCTCGTTCTGTTGGAGTAGCTGCGGTGGTGGGGGTGGTGGTGGTATCAGAGGCAGTCGTAGTAGCTGTAGGCGTGGACGAAGTAGTAGAGGATGCTGTGGCAGAAGTGCTAGCTGTAGTAGAGGTGGTAGTAAGTGTTGAGATGGTAGTTGCAGAAGTCGTTGACGGGGTTTCAGTCGTGACGAGTCCCTCTTGTATTTCTGAGCAGAACTCACAGCATCGGGTGCGTGTGAATTCATTGCTGCAGAACCTTGGCTCACAGACCAGGTCAGTTTCATCTCCTTGTGGGCAGTTTGCTGACGTCATAGAAAAAGAGGGTCAGAAACATCATTTTCTATTTCCTATATTTGTTGGGGTATTTTCTTTTTCATGAAATAACCCACTTTGTGTTTTTCTTTTAATATAAGTGTTTTATGCCCCCATTGACACTATTTTGATCATTTAGGAGGCGGGCTTCTACCTTGCCTGCTAGACCCAACCTGGGCTTAGAGGGCTACAAAATTCCTGCAGAAAGACTGAGACTCTCGATGAGAATTCTCTTCCATACGGGAATCAAACTCAGGTCATCTGTGTGTAGCCTAGCGATGAAGCCCCGGACCGCTACACCACAAACGCTGGTAATCTTATTATATTTGTGCATTGTATTTGCACTATTCATAAATTATAGACCCTACATACATGTATAATTATATTCTGGTGTAGGATTTAAAGTTGTTTTTCCTCAGGCCATACAGTGGTTCATCAACTACAAAAAATGTAAGAACTTACATTGTTTCATTTGTATTTTAAAACATAATTTATTATTTTTTTAAAATAGTTACAATTAACACTTATTATTGGCGGGACATCTCCAGATACAATATATCTTAGATAAGATAAGATAATACTTTATTATCCCAGAGGGAAATTTTTCTTGGCTGTACAGGACCGTAAAAAAAGATGCAGGTATACATTTAAAAAAATTTAAATTATATACACGTATCAATCTC